CCCAAAAAACGGTTTCTAAGCAGAAGGGTGGGTTGTAGTCGCGGTGCTTCATCGTTACATCCCTTTCTCGTGTCTACAGGGCAAACTCAAAGATTACGGGTTTAAGCAGGCCGAAGGCCCGCTACATCATTCGATCATGTTCTTCAGCAAATCACGTGACCAAAATTGTCGGGCCGCAGGCCCGAACATCGCCGCCGGCAGGCCAAGCAGGCCCGGCCCCTGCCGAACGGAGTTGCTGGCGGAGCGAAGCGGAGGGGCGGGCCTTCTTGTTATTTATGCACTTTTTATTTACGAAATTAATAGCGCTCATTTCCATCTCTGTGCAGGTACACTCAACTATGGAATTTTGTTCCTAGAGAAGCTGACAATGTTGGTGCGTTTGTTTGCCCTCATGCTATCTTGTTTGACTTTGAAATGGCGGCGCATAATGCAGTAAAGGATGCGAGCAACTTTGGCTGGAGCTGCTATGTAAGTAAAAGGATGTCGGTTTCACTTGTCCCAAAATCTTTCAAAGAACATCAGAGCAGTGCCAGTTCTCCGGACAGCTTTTGATAGGAAGCAGCCAGGAGAAATTGAAGACATTGGCGAGGGAAACGGTATGCATCAATTTATCTCTATTTTTTACTGACTCCTTCGTGCATTAATCTAATACACATTCGTCTCAATACATTTTATGTCCATTCAGACGATCCAGAGGAAAGGACATGGTTGCTGAGGTTCCTCGGCTTGTCGTGCCTCCATCCCTCCATGTTTGCCAACAACATCGAGACCAGAGGGGGAGGAGTATAGGTTGTTTCAAGAATATGTGGAGAAAACCTACACGGCACCTAATGCAAGGAAACTAGAATTCTCTTGGCCTATTCCATCTCATGTCGCACGGTTTTGGACCTTACCATCACCGAAATTCCATCTCAAGTGATAGTTTGTCGGCCTTGGCTTGCTGATTCTCTGGATATTTTTCATTTTCCGATATCTCGTTTCGTTTCAGAAGATATCTCCAAATAAGTGTTTTTCCAAATTTTGTCGCCCTTGATTCGTTATTCGGCCAAATCTCCGTTAATATACGTCGTAAATCGATTACAAAACCACCACTGGATAGAGAATAAAAAACTAAACAAAAAAAGTTTTCTGAAAATTTTCCTCCGACTTTTTTTTATTTATTTTTTACGTTAAAATGAAAAATGTTTCTTGTAACAGAGTAACTTTCCCGTGTACCAAATTGAGCGTGCTTGGTCTCAAAATGTAGCTTAGACCCTCCTCTAACTGGAATACATGAGCACGAAAAGTATTTTTTTTTCGTTCTCGAGATATCTTGGTTCTTGTGAACGTCTGCATCGGGCACTTTCACCGCTATCACACCAAAACCCTTACTGCAGCCCTCCCCGGGCCACCCTCGCCCCCTCAGCTGTTCACATTGATGGAATGGTCGTTCCACCACATCCAGGGTGCATACCGACACATTTGAATCGCAGCGCGTCCTTGAATGGGGAAGGGGCGAGAGCGAGCTTCGTAAAAGTTCCCGTTTAAAAAAGATTCACCCCAAGAAGTTGTTGAAATCAGCCCGAAAGAGCCCCGGGGGCCGCGGGCGGTCCCGCACTTTGTCCGCAGCCATGCCGGACTGTCCCAAATTCAGTCCGTCGCGTCTCCGGGTCACCCCGGGATCAGCCCGGCCCTGGGTGTCGGGGAAACCGAAATCTGCCCGGGGACCTCCCGGCGCCCAGGCAACCCCAGAATCAGCCCCATGTGCCGGAAAACCCAGAAACAGCCTGGCTTAAGACCGCCGCGGAGGGGGACGGTCGATTGCGGACATCTCTGGGTCCGGAGGGTCGGAACGGTCGATTGCGGACAAAGCCTTTTTGACAGGGGATTACCGCACTGTTAAAAAAATTTCTGTAATTTTACAGGAAATGTTAAGCTAATTTTGGGGGCATGTGGTGTCGTAAACTATTTTTACAGCGCAGTTGTAAAATTACGACAAATGCCTTGGAACCCAAAAAACGTTGACACCTTTTTTACGTTTTCAAGGTAGCGCTGTAAAATTACAAAATAGCTGTCAGACTACAACATCGGTTGTAGAATCCGCCATATAAATATTTCGGATATAATTATTTTTTTCCGTTTTGGTATGATAATTTGCGTGTTTCTCATGCATTTATCCTGAGTTTTTTCCTCGTTTGAGGACTTTCTTTGCAACTTTTGCACTTTGCAAAGCAGTTACCCACGAAAAACCTGTAGATTTGTAAAAATCAGGAGAACTTTATTACCGCGCTGTAATTTTACAGTGCCGCCATAATTTTACAGCTGTGTCAATAAATTACAGCATTCCTCGTAAGACTACAGCTCCAACCAAAATCGTGTTTTACGGATAGGGCTGTTTTTTTCCCAAAAGCCTGTAAAATGTTCAGCTGTAAAATTTCGATATATTTTTAACAGTGCGGATCCCGAGGGTTCACGGGTCTGCCCGCAATAATCGACCAGGGCTCGCCGCGGGCGGGCGTGGCGTGCCACGTCCAGGTGGACGCACGGCGTCTGTGCCCCATGCCACCCCATGCCTAAGCGTTGCGCGGAGCGATAGCGAAGCGCAACGCTGCACAGATAACGCGATTACTGACTTCAATGTATTGCGTTAGGTTTGTTAGTCTAGGTTTGCTTCATATTAATTTAAAACCAATTGGCTTCAAAGATAATTGCATCATTACTGACTTCATGTATTGAGTTAGGTTTGTTAGTTTAGGTTTGCTTCTTAATATTTTTTTTTAGCTGTTTTTCAAGTTTAAATGCTCCGATGATAAGGCACGAGAAGAATACAGACTTCAAAGCCAAAACATTACCTATAGTTAGTTAGTTAATGCCTAATGCCTGAAACTTCGACGGTCACTTCGCTCACTCGCTCCGCCCAGACCCGTCCCGGTCGATTGCGGACAGGCCCGTGGACCCTCGGGTCCCGGTAATCCGCTCGTCAAAGAGACTTTGTCCGCAATCAACCGTTCTGACCCTCGGCTCCCAGGTATGTCCGCAATCGACCTGACGCCCGTCGCGGACAGGTCGCTGGTTGTCTAAACATAATATGGACATGAACATTTTACGTTAAGATTGAAAAAACTTATATTCTTTAAAGTTAAAATAGCAAAATATCAGAGGCATTCTCTATCTTAAAACAAACAAACGAATTATTTGCACTATTTTGTACATGGCGCACGGGAGTTCAATCTGACTAATAAAATTTCGTATAAATTCATGTACTAAATCTTGGATTATTTTGCAAAATGCACAGACCTTGAACAGCAGTGGGGAAAACTCAAGACAGCAGGGAAGCCGTTACTTGAAGGATGCCGTTTGACTGAGCTGTGCCATGTTAAAGAAGTGAACAGACCAGTGGTTGAAGTTTCTCAAGAAACTAGGAAGAAATGGGAAGATATTTTAACAAAATGCAAGTTGTCTAATTAATTCATAATGTTTTGTATACTCTCTGTGATATTTTAACTCCACCAATCAATTTTTCCTCTGTCTTTTGCTTCACTGCGATGATTTTTTTTTTTGCATGCAATTTTTTAGTGAGGCAATAGCTACAATTATTCTCAATTCATTATTTCCCTAGTTTTGGGGTTGTTTTAATTTGTTTATGAATCATTCTTGAAATTTAAATTGGTTAATTTTATGTTTGTAATGAAATGATACAGAAATAAATGATTGATGTGTACTTGTTTGTGTTTTAATGTGCAGCTGCTCCCCTGAGTGAATACAGCGTGTTCTTCAGTGGCTTACGCCAGTGTTATGGAGAGCCAGTTTCACAACTTGATGCGGACAGTAGGAGAGCAGAGTTAGAACTTCGAATACGTCATCTTCTTGGGCGAAAGATGTCTCCTTCTATTGCTGAGAAGATCATTACCCTGACCAGTGAGGAACTTGATCAGTGTTCTACTGAGGTTAAAAAATTCTATCAGGAAAAAGTTCTTGTGACTATTGAACAAAGTGTCAGAATTTGTTAAGATACACTAGAGCAAAGTCAAAGCCCTACCTGGCAGTTCAATAGGGATATCAGAGTTTCGGGTTCTCGCTGCTATGGGTTGCACACATATTTTGTCAATAAAAATCCTGATTGGGACTCAAAATACCAAACTACATATAGCTCTAATTTTACTGGAAATGAAAATACTGTCTATGGTTTGAAAAGTGAGTCACCCTCAAGGGATATATACATGGAGGAGAACAAGACGGATGTTTTGTTAGTAGGGTCAATTATAAGACCAGAGGTCCCATGGCTGTGTTACAGCCCTGATGGTATTGTGTTAGATGAAAATGGAAATCCTACTTATTTGTATGAAAATAAGTCCCCTAAAGAAGGTAAAAGATTAACAGCTACAGAACTAATTGAAAGCCATGCAGTTAAGAATTTAGATGTGACAGGAAAACTAAAGTCAAAAACTCATTGGAATGGGCAGGTGCAGTTAGGCATGTTTTTATTAGGACTTCCCTCAACAGAACTTTCTATTTACTCATCATTTGAGGATCAAAAGAAAGACCCACAAGTTAAACCAAGTATATATATTGATAAGGTCATGTTTGATGAAAAGTTCACTTTGGAAATGTGTGAAAGACTCCGCAAAGCTTACTTTAGAGAGTTGCTTCCCAGAATGGTACTTAACTATAGAGACGAAGAATAATTTGTTCAGAGTTTATTTTATTCACCTTTTGAGTAAAAACAATCAAAGAAGGCTGTACCTGAAGATATTTTAATTTTTAATAGTGAATGACAGTGAAAGGAAAGTGTATTTTAAAAAAATACGCACATGCTTTGTTAAATGCAAAATGTTTAATTTAGATATAATACTTTATGAATAAAAGTAACGTTCTTTCCTAAAACTTAAATATTTTCTAACACTGGAAACACTTATCACATGAACTTGTCCACATTGAGTACAGGGGGACCCAAATTTACAATGGCTGCAGTTAAAATTAGAATGTCATCTATAAATGGGATTAATTCCCAAGGAATTGGGTCACATAAAAACTCTCTCAACATGCACCCTAGCTCTTGCTATTTCAGCACACCTAAGTGCCTCAGCTCTAATCATTTGTTTTTTTTGGTAAACAAAGGGTGGTCTATGAAGTATTAGGTTCCTCTGAAACAGAAAAAGAAAATGGGTAAAATGCTCAGTGCACAAATTGTGCTACACAATGTAAATTCAAATACTCACCATCAAACATTCCTGTTCAATTTTGAATCCCTTGTCTGCCATTACAGCATCCTGGTAAATTAATTTGTCCAAAATCCCACTGTCATTAACAATTAGTTTGTCTGATGCCCTGCCTCCATATGTTTGACTTATGTGTGTTATCAATCCTGAGGGGGCAACACCAACATCAAATTTAGCTGTTTGCCTTCCCTTGTAATTTGACCATGTCAATATTCTACACTTTAAACACTTAGATTTCTCAATAGGTGTCTCTGCACAGTCTAAAACTATTCTGGTATTCCTATAATTTTTAAAAGCTATTGGCATATTGGATCTAATTACTTCATGGTCAGGCCACGAAATCATTGTCTCCAGTACAATGCGCAAGAGAGGCACTAGTTCTTTAAAATAATTTGAGCAAGTCTGACGGCACACTCCCATCAATATTGATAATGAGGTAAATGACAAATTTAGTTTCAATTTTATAAAGACTAGTATGATTCTGTGCTTTAAACACATTTCTTTTTTGTCTTTTTTGTCACCAATTAGATCACTAACACAAGTTACTAAGGCTTCAAGTAACTCAAACGAATGTAACCCGGTGAAGTTCTTCAACTTTTCCTTATCTGACAAAACATCAACAACTGTCACAACTGGCTTTGGTTCCTTTGGCTTCTCTGTCATTTTGCAGTCACATTTCGAAGGGTCTCTCTGACAAGATACATCTTTGGATTTAGGTTCTTCGTTTGATTGTGCTGCGTCGTCTTCATTCTGTCCGTTATCCTTATTAAAAATATAAAAATTTATTAATTATAAAATGATGACATGGATACGAGAGAATGAGATTTTTTAAAAAGTATAAAATGTGCACTTTCTGAGCATCATTGTTTGCTAGATTTGCTTCTTCAAAGGGTGGAGGTGGTGAGGAGGGCCTGGGCCTAGCAGCTGCCCTTTTCTCTCTTCTCCTCGACCGCCCCTCTTGCTTCTCCTTGGCCTCAACACTCAAGACTTTGTCATGCTGTCTGACTGGAAGGTTTTGAGATGGGATGGCCGTAAGTTTGAGTCGCTTCACTTTCTTCTGGTCAGCTGCAAACAAAAAATCGTGAAAACAGAGCGTTGGGAAGGAGACAAAAAATAAAGGAGAGACCTGTTGCAAGCTTTTTCATGGCACAAATTTAGTGAGAAAGAGAGAAAATATGCGATTTTGGGGTGACATACCTCCTGGAAAGTAATCTGACGCTAGAAAATGATGACCACAAACACGCATGGCGTTCGACGCCGGCTTGCCCATCCGCAAAGCCACTTCCCATTCTTTCCTAATCTTCAAATCGTCGGGAAACTAAAGAAAACTTAGACTACCGACTGCCTTATTGTCGCACTGTGGCACACAACACATTTTGGTGACGCGCTTTGCCTCATTTGCCCGTAATTCCTGATCAGACGCACTTGAATCCATGATTACACAAGCCAAACACAAGCGGAACCTCACTGTAAAAATTTTTGGGAGTAATTTTACCCTTTTGGGTGACGAAACGCTCACTCAAGAAAATCGGGTGATTAATTTTATCGACCCTTGGAAGAGTAATTTTACTACATACATGGGTGGGTAAAATTCTCAACCCACGGGGTGAAATTTTTGATCTCATGGTAGAGTGTATTTACTTACCCACGAGGTTAAAACAGAATGGTCTCCACCTTGGGTGTGAAGCTGAACTGTATGAAAAAAGTGTGGCACCCTACTGAGAGTTGAACCTCGGACATTCCGATTACGAATCCGCGCCTTTAACCACGCCGCTACCGCGCCTTCCTGGCTAAAAACACGCTGGCTCTTAGTGTCTTTCCTCCGGAGTGCTCCGTGACTTCTATTCGTAATTTTACCCTCGTGGGTGTGTAAAACATTTTTTTCATCCAGGAGGGGTAATTTTACCAACAAACATTAGGCGAAATTTACTCTTTGGGGGTGTAACACGTAATTACCTGCCCAAATGCTGATTTTGTCTCACCATTCTTAGATAAATGTAGTTGTGTGGGAGATAAATTACTTTTTACCAACCCATTATTAGGGTAAATTGGGATTACCGAGTGGGAGACAAAAATTACTCTCCCATTTTGAGACAAAATTACTCCTGATTTTTAACAGTTATGCGGCGCTGCAGCAGCGGGGCGGGCGCGTCTACCACTCGCTAGTTCGGGCGGCCGCCGCCAGGCGCGCGCGGGTCAGCTTGGCGGAGCGAATGGTTCAAAAGCCGGGATTCCTTCTGTTATTCTTAATCGTAAAATACCTCATTCCGGACAGTCCCTATTTACGCTATTAAACGGCAGTAGAACAGGTCGATATGCCAATACTGCACTGCAGCTGCGTGCTAGTACACACCAACTTTACCCGTAACTGCGGAACCAGAGTGATATTGAAATTTTCGAGGCAAAATTGGTCCATTTCAGAAGTTAAGAAACTTTTGCAGAAGTCAGTTCTATTTTTAGCCCGCCCTTCTGCTTTGAAAAAGCTATCCAGCGGGCTTATGCAAACGACCTCGTGTCTGTCTGTCTGTGTGTCTGTCTGTCTGTTCCACTAGAAGGAGATGTGCTAGAGACTTGAAATTTTCAGGGTATCTTAAAGTCCACTCCTAGAGAACGAAACGCCTACGGCAAATCCTGTCAGCCACCCCTAAGGGGCTGAAAGGGGGTATCGAAGAAAACAGGAAAGGCCAAAAAAGTTGGAAAAAATATTTTTTTTTATGATCTCCTAAGGGGTAACTTGTGAAAGTAGAGCCCATCGGGCGAAAATTTCTTCCGTTTTGCTCTATCTCTCACCGTTTGGGCGCTAGAGTGAGTTTCTCTCACAAAAGTGGCCCAAAAATTAATTTATTAATTTTTGAAAATATTGGATGGTCTCCTAAGGGGTAACTCGTCAAAGTAGAGCCCTATGGGCGAAAATTTCGTCCGTTTTGCGCTATTTCTAACCGTTTACGCGCTGGAGGGTCTTTTTAGACGAAAAAAAGCTAAAAATTGCCATAGTAAACAAGAAGATGTAGAAAAGGGCCTAAAAACCGCAAAATAGAAAGGAAACTTTCCCCCACCCCCAAAAAACGTTTTCTAAGCAGAAGGGTGGGTTGTAGTCGCGGTGCTTCACCGTTACATCCCTTTCTCAAGTCTTTGGGGCAAACTCAAAGATTACGGGTTTAAGCGGGCCGAAGGCCCGCTACATCATTCGATCATGTTCTTCAGCAAATCGCGTGACAGAAATGGTCGGGCCGCAGGCCCGACCATCGCCGCCGGCAGGCCAAGCAGGCCCGGCCCCTGCCGAACGGAGTTGCCGGCGGAGCGAAGCGGAGCTGGCAACTTCGTTTGGCGGAAGGGCGGGCCTGCTTGTTGTAGTAGAAGGACATTGGTTTCGCAAAATACGCCATAAGAATGTGTACAACAATCTTTTCCTCACAGGACTTTGTCAAAATTGAAAATTTAGTGCATATTTTGGCTGAGCGATTAGCGAAGCCCATAACTCCACTGACCGGAAAAGTTTCTTTCTGTTTGTTTGTCTGTCTGTTTGTATGTCTGTCCGCACGATAACTCGAGAAAGAATTTAAAGAGCAATCTGGGATTTTTAGGGTCGTTTTGTATCATTAAAAGACACATCGAATTCGAAGATGAGCATTCTAGCTAAAAAAATTGACGTTTTAAAAAATCAAAAACCCACAGGAGGCAAAATGTATTCTTTACCGAACATTTTATTAGGGGTTTCTTAGGGGTAACTCGTCAAAGCGGAGCCCAATGGGCGAAAATTTAGTCCGTTTTGCTCTATCTCGTACCGTTTGGGTGCTAGGAGGCATTTCTTTGCAAAAGTAAGGTGAAAACGACTAAATGGTCTATTAAGTCGTAACAGAGGCCTTACATTGAAAAATTGTGCAGGAAGTAATATTATAACCACACAGTTGATGTCGAACCACACCCTCCTTTAGGCTCAAGGGTCCGTAGATTATCTAGTATCACTAAAACGTTGTTTTTACATAACAATAGGGTACTCCACTGCAAGCCAACCGGAACCTAAAGAAGAAAAGCATGACTGCTCGATCTGTTTCCCTCTGCGCGCTCATTGGCTGACAGCCACAGCCACGCCATCTTTGACCAATCAGCGTTCAGGGGGGAAGCAGATCAGGTAGTCATGCTTTTCTTCTTTAGGTTCCGATTGTGTTTTAGCGGAATACCCTATTTGTTAAAATTCGAACCTTAAATGAAAACCGTTATGGAACAGCAGAAGTTTCATGTTTCATGTCCCTAATTTTCGAGTAAAAAGTCCCCAACAAATGCTGTGAGTACATCAAATTTTGGGGCCGGAAGGCCCTGTTCCCGAATACCCTCCCAATAAACTCGACTCGGGTGTCAGCGCCGCAGGCCTAGCTATACGTGCGCCAGGCGCGTCGCAGCGTAACAGTGTTTCGTGAGATATCGCGAAGCCTGTTACGCGAGGGTCTGGCGTACATATAGCTAGTAACTAAGATTTGTTGGCTGAGCGATTAGCGAAGCCCATTACTCCACTGACCGAAAAAGATTCATTCTGTTTGTTTGTTTGTTTGTTTGTGTGTTTGTCTGTCTGTCCGCACGATAACTCGAGAATGAATTGAGATAGCGATCTGGGAATTTTAGGGTCGTTTTGTATCATAAAAAGACAGATCGAGTTCGAAGATGAGCATTCTAGCTCAAAAATTGACTTTTTAAAAAATCAAAAACCACAGGTCGCAAAATGTTTTTTTATCAAATATTTTTTTATGGGTTCCTAGGGGGTAACTCGTCAAAGTAGAGCCCTATTGACAAAAATTTCTTCCGTTTGGCTCTATCTTGTACCGTTTAGGTGCTAGGGGGCATTTCTTGACAAAAATGAGCCGATTATGATCAAATGGTCGATTAAATCATTAAAAAAACTTCATTTCGAAAAATTGTATATTCACTTCTATTACCCCGTCTCGGGTGTCAGTGCCGCAGGCCTAGCTATATGTGCGCCAGGCGCGTCGCAGCGTAACAGTGTTTCGTGAGATATCGCGAAGCCTGTTACGCGAGACGTGGTCTGGCGTACATATAGCTAGT